TTCTGTCTCTCTGATCTACCAGCATTGACCCCAATAACTGGCCTCGGGTTTGATTTTATTAATAAGAACTTTTAAGATTCATGCTACAGGTGCTGGTGAGCATCAGACAGACATGGGTGCTGGTGAGGACCTGACAGACATGGGTGCTGGTGAGCATCAGACAGACATGGGTGCTGGTGAGGACCTGACGACAGACATGGGTGCTGGTGAGCACCTGACAGACATGGGTGCTGGTGAGGACCTGACAGATATGGGTGCTGGTGAGGACCTGACGACAGACATGGGTGCTGGTGAGCACCTGACGACAGACATGGGTGCTGGTGAGCACCTGACAGACATGGGTGCTGGTGAGGACCTGACGACAGACATGGGTGCTGGTGAGGACCTGACGACAGACATGGGTACTGGTGAGCACCTAACGACAGACATGGGTGCTGGTGAGCACCTGACGACAGACATGGGTGCTGGTGAGCACCTGACAGATATGGGTGCTGGTGAGCACCTGACAGACATGAGTGCTGGTGAGGACCTGACAGACATGGGTGCTGGTGAGCACCTGACAGACATGGGTGCTGGTGAGCACCTGACAGACATGGGTGCTAACTCTGATCCTCTGGTAGAACAGCAGGCATTAACCACTGAGCATCTCTCCAGACCTTTGTTTGTTTGGGTTTTGTTTTGTTGTTTGGTTTGGTTTGGTTTTTTTCAAGACAGGATCTCACTATGTAGCTCCAGCTGTCCTTGAACTCACTATGTAGCCCAGGCTGGCCTCAAACCCATAGAGTGCTGGGATTAAAGGCCACTACACCTGGCCTTCCAGGCCCTTGTTCTATGTTTTATGAATCACTGGCTGACCTAGAACTCACTATGTAAAGCAGGCTAGCCAGAGATTCATCTGCTCCCACCTCTCTAGGGCTGAGATCAGAGCCGTGCACCACCAAGCCTGGCCTTCCTTGTTTTGTATCTTGTGGTCCAGACTGGCCTTGAACTTGCTGTGTGGCCGAGGGACTGCCTTACAGTCCTGTACCACCATGCCTGGCTTATACAGCCTTTTGTTTTTGTTCATTTTTGGTTTTGTTTCTTACTGACCTGTTTAAAAGGAGGTTACAGACCCTCGGCACATAGTTCCTAAGAATAAGGACACCTCACACAGACAGCTGTGCCAGCTACTCTGATTTGATCAGTGTCATGTGTCGGTGTGTGGCAATGTCACACTGCACCCATACATATGCACAAACACTGTGGTGACCAGCTAGAAATGTACTTCAAGAGCAACCACTTAGCCACACCCACAAGTTAACCACAATATGAACTGCCTTTCTTGCCCACCAGTGCGTCACTTACATTTGCGGGGTTATGGTTTTTTGGGAGGAGGTTGTGTGTTTTGATCTAGAATATAGTGAGAGATGAACACTGGTCAACCTAGTTTAAATGGCCCGTTTGGGATGAAAGCAGCAAGAGGAGCTGATGAAATTCCTGCTGGGTGTGGGGAACAAGACAACAGTCTTCTCAACTTTCAGAAAATAATTAAAACCCTGGCTTCACATCACGACAACCATGACTAAGGACACTTCAGTCGGAGGATCTGACAAATTAACACCTGACCAAGGGGCACTCTTCATTCTTGGGCCAGACGACCTGTACTGTAGAGAGACCCTGGAGCATGTTTCTCCAGCTTGTGGGCTCAGCTAGCTCCAGCTGAAGGTCGTGTTAGGGAGGTATTTGGCCAGGGTGGACCTGAAGCCATGAGCGCACCCCTGGATCTGCAGTCCCACCCTCCATGAAGCAGGGGCTGCCCCCAAGTCCCTCTGCCAGGTGGATCCAACACACTTTCTTTTTTTTGAGACAGGGTCTCCTAGCCCAGGCTGGCCTCAAACTCACTACCCTGCCTCAGTCCCTCAGTGCTGGGACCACAGGGACACACCACCACCTCCAAGTCCAACATTGTTTTCATTTCTATGGCTGATGGGGTGTAAACTCAGTCCTGGGGACCCAAAAATCAGTAAGATGTGATACCCACCCTCAGAAGCACTCAGAGCAGCAGATCCTGTAGCAAGAAAAGACATGGAGAGGTCTGCTCGATGTGACATGGTAAGAATGACAGTATTCAGAAAACCTGTGGCCTCCTGAGGGCCGTGAGTGGTGGTCAGAATCCCCATCTCTCCTTCTGGAGTTATACTCAAGGAATTCCATTTTCTCTTCAAAACCACAAGCCCTTGGTAACTCTGCCTTGCTTCCAGATAAATCCAGAATCTTAGCTGGGGACACTTAGTTAATATGTGTTTCACAGACTCAAGGGTAGTGCTTTCTAGGTCTGTAGCTGTACCCTGTAATTTACAGATCTTCACAGGGGTACTTGTTACTGTATTGATTATGAAGAAATATCTACATGCCCAGTATGGAAGGCTGGCTACCTAAGTTATGGTCACAAACAGTCTTGGAAATGTGTGTCAGCATTAAGAGTAGTTGATTACATGGGGTGATCCTCACAGTGTGACAATGTGTTGTTGAACAGAAAAGCAAACTGTAATGTGGTATGACAGAACACCTGTAAAGAGCCAGACGGGCCCGTTGGACCCAGGTCCTTTTAAGTATATATTTGCCCTTTTTTCTCCTTTTGAGACAAAAGCCAGGTGCGGTGGTGCATGCCCTGTTTTTTAGACAGGGTCTTACCTATGCAGCCCTGGCTGACCTGGAACTCACTGTGTAGACTAGGCTGGCCTTGAATTCATAGAGATCTACCTGTCTCTGCCTCCCTAGGGCTGGGCTTAAAGATATGTACCACAGTGAGAGGTCTCGGGTAGCCCAGGCTGGCCTAGAGCTTGCATTTAACTGAGGATGACTTTCATGTATCGATTCTCTTGCCTCCACCTCCCAAGTGCCAGATTAGAGGCTGGTACCAGCATGCCTGGGTAATGCAGTGCTGGAGCTCAAACCCGGGGCCTCCTGTACGCCGGGCAGGCAGTCCACCAACTCAGCCACATTCCCAGCTGTGTCTTTCCATGTTTCAAAACGTTGAAGTGTTAGCACAGTTAAGTGGTCTCCTGTGGTATTGTGGTAGGACTGTTCTATACAGTCTTTGTATTATCTGATTTTTTTCATGATAAACCCTGGTTCTGTCATCAAGAGCAGAAAGGCCAAGGTAAACACCGGCACATGACTCTGACCTCTCTCAGCCTTGTCTTGGCTGGGCCTCCCAAATCTGGCTCCTTTCCACACCAGCCTAACCAACCCCTCTTCTGAGGGCTCTGTTCCCATCTCTGCACCTTTCACTGTCTTCTGCCAGTCCCCAGCCCTCCTTCCTTGGGCCTCCCATACACTCGGGGGTGGCGCCCTCCCACTTAGATCCTCTCTGGCAACGTGCACCAGTCTGGACCTCCTCCACGGCCCTGCATGTTCAGTGACTTTCAGGATCCCAGCTCCCGGCACCCTGGGGGCCCTGTGCACTCTTGCCGTTACTAACCCAGCCCCGCCCGGTGGCTGTCCCCCTGTCCCTGCCACAGTGGACTGCCCTTCTGCCATCACCAGCTTCCTCCTATGTGCTGTGCTCTAGACAGGGTCTGGAGCCCCAGTCTGGGGTCCTGGCCCCATCCTACTCACTGATGGAGGCACCCCAGTCAGTGTCTCCAGGGTCAGCATGACAGCCTCAGCCCTACCTCAGGGACTGACATGAACCCCTGCAACAGCCCAGCCAGAACCCCACCTTCACTCTGCCCCGACACCCCATACCCACCATGACCACAGAGGGCCCCTGTGACACAGGATGCCTTGTTTTGGCCCCTCTCTCCCTTGGGATTCAAATCTAAGTATCTTTCCTCTTTACCTTGTCTGCACTCCTCTGCTTCTTTCCCGCTGGCCCCCAGAAAACCCCAACTCAGAGCTGGAAGGCTGAGTGGCCCACCCCCCAGCCCACCTCTAACTCACTGCATGCCCAGCACCATGTTGAGAAGTCTCTCCAGAGTGGTTATGTGTCTCCTTGTCCTCATTTGAACCAAAGGAATTGGTATTTATCGACAGCCATTTTCCCATAGCTGACCCTAGGCATGCTATGACTCACTTGCTGAGTCCATGGCTGGTGTCTCCTTGCTGGAGTGAGTGCTCTGTCACACACACAACTAGAGACCTGTCCAGGCTGACGCACAGAGCCTCCGGAGTGCTTGCCTGTCTGTCAGGGACAGCTTTCCCAGACCTGTCTCTTGCCATATCTGAGAAGAGCATGGCAAGGCTGGACCAGAAACTGCCATCTGTCTCTTCACCGTGGGCCAGCACAGCAACAGGCATTGCTCAGTGGTAGAACTCGCTTGCCTCAGTGGCCCTCTTGCCCGCCTCTGTTCGGGGTGACGGGACAGGACGATGTCACACCTTATCCTTGGAGATGTGCTTTGTGCCTGGTTTGGTGGAAACACCAGAGCCTTGAGCAACCCGCAGCTCTTGAGATGCACTGACGCTAGACATGTGCTATCCCTGTGGTTTTAGGAGGTCACAGGGGACTACAGGTGTGAGGTGCAGCTGTCGCCTCTCACGGCCTGCTGGCTTCTGTCACTATTCTTTAAAAAGATGGTTTAGAGCCGGGCAGTGGTGGCACACGCCTTTAATCCCAGCCCTCAGCAGGCAGAGGCAGGCAGATCTGAGTTGGAGGCCAGCCTGGTCTATAAAGAGAGTTCTAGGACAGCCAGAGCTACACAGAGAAACCCTGTCTCAAAAAAACAAAACAAAACAAAAAGATGGTTTATCCAGGTAGTGGCTCTGCTTGTCATCCCAGCACTTGAGAGAAGGAGGCAGGAAAGTCAGAAGTTCAAGGTAATTCTCAGCTACATGAAGGCCAGCCTGGGCTACTTGAGGTGCTGTGTTTTTTAAAGCTGGTGGCTAAGTTGGTCCAGCAGGTAAAGGTGCTCACTCACCACCAAGCCTGACGACCCAAGTTCAGTCACCAGATTCTCACACAATGGAGAGAGAACCAACAGCTCCAGGTTGCCTTCTGACCTCCACGTGGGCTCCAGGGTCAGTGAGAGGCCATGCTGTCTGTATTTATTGGTTATTGTTTTCCATGTTTTTCTACAGGCTGGGAGACCATCTTGCTTCTCCCCAGAATGCCCACCGAGCCAGAAATAGCTGTCTGCAGGCCTTAGCAGCCCCTCAGCCGGACACCTGCAAAGAGGGCAGACCAGGTGTCACTGGGCGTGGCACATCCTCTTCAAGTAAGAACTCCCCGGGTGCAGAGCCCGTCCTGAGCTCCTGGGTTCAGGAACCCAAGGGAAGCAGGGTCTGCAGGTGCATGCCTACTCCTGGGAAGCCCTCTGGCCTCAGCCACAGGCCTGGATCTCAGAAGTCCACAGGCCGCCCGTCACACTGACGGATCTGGCGTCGGGCTTGTCTTCCAGATCTCGTTGAAGCAATGTGTCTACCGCTCACATCTAGAAGCTCCTGGAACTCAGTTTAATAGGAGATTTCAGAGTAGCCCATCTCAGTTTGCTATCTGGCTTAGTCCATGTTCCATGGCTATAACAAAATGCCAGTGGCTGGGTGTTTATTCTTTGTGTGCTGGGCGTCAACATTTGGTATCTTCCTCATCCACCTTACTTTTTGAAGCAGGGTCTCCCACTGATCCTGGAGCCCACTGATCCAGCTGGCCCCAGAGATGGCGCTGTTTCTGCCTCCCCAGTACTGGGATGACAGGTGCACACTGCGGTGCCCTGGCGTTTGTTTGTGCGGGTGCTGGGGACTGGACTCAGTCTTCGTGTTTCCAGAACAAGCACTTGACCAACTGAGCTGTCCCTGCAGCCTCTGGGCCTGGGTACTCTTTTGAAAAAGGTTCCTTTAGTTCACAGTCTAGGAAACTGGAAATTTAAGAGCCAGTGTTCCCATGGCCTTAACCTCTTGCGAGGGCTCCTTGGTTATGTCACAGCGTGGTGGACGGACGGACAGACAAGAGACCCAGAGTATGTGGCAAGACAAGAAGCCAGCAGCCAGGGAGGGCCAGGCTTGCTCTTTTGACTTTGTAGCAATTCGTTTTTAAGGGAACCGGTGAAACACCCACAGTAACTTCATCAGCACCCTCGCCGAGGCAGGAACACCTCCTTGACCTAATCACCTTGCCCTTGACCCCACATCTACAGGCCTCACCACCTCTGCACTGCCAACTGAACCTTCGGGACATTCCCAAACCTTGTCTAAGCCATCCCAATACAGACCTCTGACCAGGTGTCATGAACTGAGGGTCCAGCCATGTGTTAGCAGGCTCCATGGCATCAGCATGTGCCATGGACACGCACAGCCCTGAGGTCGGATTGTGTTTGAAGTGTCCAGTCAGTGGAGTTTAGCAGAAGCTTGTGGGGGCATAAAAGTCTATTTTAGATGCCAGGGGGAGAAAAGCATTTTGAACCAGAAATATACAGAGTATTTCTTTTTTAATTTCCAAAAGGAAATTGAAAGGATTGTGAGTAGACCGGATGCAACTCTAATCTCCATTCCAGCAGGAAAAGCCACAGAGTAGCAGAGCAGATCTCAGGAGCTCTGATGCATCAGCTCATGGCTGGAGTCCGAGGCTGCCATGCCAGATGCTGAGGAACCAGCTAGTCACTGAGCCCAAAGGAGGTCCCTGTGGCCCGGAGAGAGGGGAGCACTCAGGGGTCCTTTTGGTTGTGGGCAGCTCCAGAGCTTTTGCCAAGTCCCTGGTCGTTGGTTATTTGGCCTCTGTTTGCACTCCTAAGTCCCACTAAGGGCGCCTTCACCGTGACGGGTTAGCTCCGCCATCAGAGATGTCTGCTGGTTCGCTGATCTGGAGGATGAGGGTCTCCTTGGATGTGCTTTTGTTCTGAGGTCCTCATACATGCCAGGCAAGTGTCTTACCACTGGGCCACACCACCAGCACCTGCCCCTGTCTCCTGGATAGATTCATCATGCTGTTGGGGTTCAGAGGACTTGAACTTGTGCGTAGGAATGGCTAGGTGGCATGGGTGGCGGTTGCCACAATCGATATTGGTATTTGCTAATTTTCAAGAACAGCTGGCTCAGGCCGCAGCACGCTCCACAGGCAAAGGCAGGACTGTGAGTTCTAAGCCAGCCTGGTCTGCATAGATCCTGACAAGGAAGGCGAGGACAGGAAGAAGGGGGAGGGCAGAGACAGATGTAGAAAGGAAAGAGTGACATGAACCCATCTCAGCCCTAGCAAACTCGAGTGTCTTCTGAGAAGTCCGTCAGGGCACTCTGCCGTGGTAGTTAGCAGTTCCCAGGGCCTCTGCCTGGTGTGGCGGCAGCTGCACACCAGACCCCTTTCCCCCGGTGCGCACTCCCTGCCAGCCAGGCTGGGCCCCCGGGCTCCCCATTGCTCCCACTTTCGTGTGGGCCTCACCACACCCAACCTCAGCCCTGTCTCCACCGTCATCCGCCAGCCAGGCCTCCAGATGTGTGGTGGAGGAGTCTGGGTTGCATTTGTTCCGTTCCTGGTGTAGACTTCACCTCTCTACGGTCTTTCCATCTGGCCCGTCCACAGCCACCCGGCCCCGAGCGCACGGATGCCCACTCATCTGTTGGCCACCTGTCCCCTCTGACTGGGGTCTGTTAGAATCTCAGCTCTCGTCAGCCCTGGCCTGAGGGAGGGACGCTTCGTTCTCTCCCTTCCCGGCTTGTCTACTTTCCATTTCTTCCCACCGGACACTAGCTGGCTTGAGGAAAGTTCTTCCCCAGCCACCACCACATAACTTGAGTGTCAGCCTCACACCAGGTAGACCCTGTAAGCCAGTACTCAGAAACAGAGGCAGGAGGAGCACCGCGACTTCAGGGCCAGCCTGGTCTACACAGCAAGTGGGGTTCAGGTCCAGCTGGGGCTACATCCTGAGATCTCACCCTGGGGGAAAACCACACAGGCGAGCAGATGTCAGGTGCAGGTGCCCAGCTCTGTCTGAAATGGACTCGCCACAGAGGAGGACACCTGTCCCATAAGTCTGTCCCAGTAGCTCCTGTGTGCACCAATGGTGCCCTTTCCTCCCAGATCCTGGCTCTGTCCATGGCCCATTTTCCTTAGGTGAGACTCCAGAACTTACAGTGTGTCATGAGATGGGAAGAGAGACAGGAGACGTGGGCTGCCTTAGTTGCTGCAATAAAATACTTTGGCAAAAGCAACTTAAGGGGAGAAGGGTCTATTTGGCATTTGGCTCACAGTTTCTGATTACAAATTATCGTTGTGGGGAAGTCAAGGCAGCCGGAACTGGAAACAGCCAGTCATACTACATCCATGTGCAAGAGCAGAGAGCAGTCAGTAAGTACACTTGCTAGTGTTTGGCTTGTTGTCTTCATTCTTACACAGTCCAAGATACCCTGCCTAGGGAATGGTTCCACCCACAGTGGGAGCATCTCCCTATTAATCAAGGATGCCCACCTGATCCAGACACATCCACATTGGGACTCCCTTCCCATGTGATTCTAGACTGTGTCATGTTGGTAATTAAAACTAACCATCAGAGCTAGGCAGTGGTGGCTCACACCTTTGATCCCAGCACTTGGGAGGTAGAGATAGGCAGATCTCTGAGTTCGAGGCCAGCCTGGTCTGCAAAGTGAGTTCCAGGACAGGCTCCATAGCTACACAGAAACCCTGTCTCAAAAAACCAAAAAAAAAAAAAAAAAAAAAGAACCTAATCATCCGAGCTGGACAGTGGTGGCACACACCTTTGATCCCAGCACTTGGGAGGCAGAAACAGGCGGGTCTCTGAGTTCCAGACCAGCCTGGTCTGTGGAGCGAGTTCCAGTACAGCCAGGGCTGCACAGAAAAACTGTCTCAAAAAACAAAAAACAAAACTAACCATGAACTTTGTGTGTTGGTCACATCTTAAGTATCAGCCCTAGAGAGGCAGAGGGGCAGATCCCTCTGAGTTCAAGGTTAGCATGGTCTACCTACTGAGCTACAGACCTGTGAGAACCAGTCTCAAAAAAAAAAAAAAAAAAAAAAAACATAAATAAAAACTGGACTGGCTTAGGTGGCTTGGATTCCCAGCACCCACAGTTCCAGGGGGTCAGATGCCTCCTTCTGACCTCTGAAGGCTCCTGCATGCACATGGTACTCAGGCACACACATATACCCATAAAAAATAAACAACAAACAACAGAGGCTCCAGGGAGCTCACCCTTGTTCCTCTCTCCAGAGGAACAATGTCATTGTGCTGTCCCTGACCCCAGGAAGCCCAGGGCCTGGAGGTCTTTCCTGCCCTGGTGGTAGCCTTGGAAAACTGTGCGTGGAGGTTTTCCTGGGAAGAGCTAGTGCCTCGGTGTGTGTCCACCCAGATGGTCCGTAGTAGGCCCAGCCCAAAGGTCTCCTGGTCTTAGTTCCAGCACACTGCTCGGAGAGTGCAGACAAGCCATGCCCTGGCCCCTCAGAGAAAGGAGTCAGAAGCCGAAAATTCTAGGCCCACATAGATAGACTGTAGACCAAACTACCCTTTAGGTTCCATATCAGAAATGGATTTCTTGTTTGAGTCAATAAAAAAAAACCTCTTGCTCTGGATTTGACGGGAAATGCAGGACTTAATACTTAATATAGAACTAAGAAGAGAAAATTTTAAAATGAAAAAAAAAAAAAAAAGACTAGGTGGCGGTGCACATGCCTTTAATCCCAGCACAGAGGCAGGCAGATCTCTGAGTACCAAACCAGCCTGGTCTACAAAGTGAGTTCCAGACAGCCAGGTCTACACAGAAAAACCCTGTCTCAAAAAAAGAAAAAGATTGGGCCAGGTGGTGGTGGCAGATGGTGGCGCACGCCTTTAATCCCAGCACTCGGGAGGCAGAGGCAGGAGGACCTCTGAGTTCGAGGCCAGCCTGGTCTCCAAAGCGAGTTCCAGGAAAGGCGCAAAGCTACACAAAGAAACCCTGTCTCAAAAAAACAAAAACAAAACAAAAGAAAAAGGAAAAGATTGACTAGTCACACCTCAGGGGTGGGGACAGAGGCACTTTGTATGTGGAGACTAGAGAGAAGCTTGGATCAAGGGGGTGGCAAGCCCAGACCCTGTCATAATGCCACCTTAGCAGTGCCTGGGCCAGAGGATGGGTATATGACCGAAACACACAACATGGCCTGTCTCCAGGCCTCCACAGAAGCTCAGCAGAACGTTCTGATGGCCTGGTAACCTGAACATGCCCGTGACCACTTGCTAGCCCTCCTATGAGCATGCTGAAGGTCCAACCTGGTGGTGTCTCCTCAGGCAACTCAGTGCCCGGCTTATTTCTATCTTAAATATGAAACTGCCAGATTTAACAATTCTGGGTACAGGCCTGGGGGTGAGTCTTCCCTGATTGTGCAGCCCAGCCCAGGAAAGAACATCCTAGAAGGCTCCAGGGTGGGTATGTACTGGGCTCTATCTCCTCCTAGGAGGCTCCAGGGCAGGTGTGTACTGGGCCCTATCTTTTCCCCAGCAGTTATGAATTCCAAGCCAAGAGAGTGGTTGTTACCTGGACATCAAGAAGAGCCTCGCTTGATCCCCACAGCAGCCCCCAGCTGGCTGAAGGACGTGAACCAGGACCCAAGCAGTGGACATACCACCAGGTAGGATGTCGTGAGTCCTGATATCCCACTTAGATATCGGGTACCTGGGATCAGCTCCCAAAGGCTAGATATACGGAATCGTTTTTCCCCCCTTGGGACAGGGTTTCTCCATGTAGCCCTGGCTGTCCTGGAACTCGACTAGGCTGGCCTCAAGAGATCCGCCTGCCTCTGCCTCCCAAGTGCTGGGATTAAAGGCATGTGCCACCTCTGCCCAGCTGACATATAGCATCTTAGAGAGCTTCTGTGTCCCCACAAAAGTCAAAGAGACTTCTCTGGAGCCTGAAACACAGTAAATAATGCCCAGTGGGAAGGCCTGGTGGCCCGTCAGTGTGTCAGAGCCCAGGGACAGCGGGGATCCGAGGGCCATGGTTGTCAGACTGGACGCTTACTCTGTTGGTTTGGGTTTTAGTTTTGTTTTTTTTTTTTAATTGTATTATATTTTATATGTGAGTGCTCTGTATGTATACCTGTATGACAGAAGAGGGCATCAAGTCCTATTATAGATGGCTGTGAGCCACCATGTGGGTGCTGGGAATTGAACTCAGGACCTCTGGAAGAGCAGCCAGTGCTCTGAACCGCTGAGCCATCTCTCCAGCCCCCTTGCTTTGGCTTTTGAAACAGGGTTTCACTGTGTAGCTTTGGCTGGTCTAGATATCACTTAAACCCGCAGAGATCCACCCGCCTCTAAGGACATAGCTTGATAAATTGTCAAGAAGCCACACCTGACGGTGGACACCTCTGACTCAACACTCTGGAAGCTAAGGCGGGGCGATCAGGAGTTTGAAGCCAGCCTGGGCTGCGTGGAAAGACTTTGTCACAAAAAAAGAGAGAGGTGGGGGAGGGAGGGAGAGGGAGGGAGCGGGGAGAGATGAAGGAAGGGAGGCAAGCTGCTGGGACTGTCCAGGGGATGAGTGACCTGCCGCAGCAGGCTCTTTGCTTCCACAGGAGGTGGGACGAGGGGAGAGACTGAGAACGGCATTAGGAAATGGCTCAGGCGGAGGTCAGACTCCAGACAGAAACTGGCCCTGGAGTAGGACGAAAGGAGTTTCCTTCTCTACCCCAGTGAGCACCGACAGGTCCTCGGTGGATCGCTACTGTCTTTCCGTCTAGAAGCTCCTCTCTGAGGGTCTCAGTGGCCCCTTCAGACTTGAGACAACCTTGTCCATCTCCTGGCCTTCCGTCCTCTGACCTCATGAGCCCGGCAGGCCGAGTGACTTCAAGAGGGAGGATTCAGTCTCTAGCACGGAAGTAAAACTGGAGTGTGCTGGGTGAGCAATGCCCTCTACATTGGAGGAACGCGGCAGCGGCCTCATGGGCCTTCCCTGACCGGCCCTCCTAACAGACTGGGAGATGCTTCCATCCACGTCTTCAGTGAGCACCCCCAATGGTATCTGCAGGAACCTCCCACCACCACACACACCCCTCACAATGGTGTCTGTGGTCAACAGAAGCCTCTCTCCTGTGGGGTCTGCAGTGCACACTCTACCTCATTGGCCAGTCTGCCATGGCCCTCCTTCCACCTCTTGGAGTTATTAAAAGAGAGCTTGTCTGCCAGCTCAGGGGCCCCTTGGCTCTGGGTCTCCTACAGTGAGGGTAAGGATCAAAATGAGCAAACTCGGAGGGGTAGGCACCGGCTGCTCACTTTGCTGCTTGCTCACACAGCAGAAGGGCACTCGCCGCTCTTCAGCTGGGCCAAATCTGCCCTTCCTGTGCCCAGGCCTCTTTCTTCTGTAAATGCTGAGCTCATTTCCGAAGCTGCTCGCCACTCAAGACAGCCCTTTCCCTAAAAATAGCCGTTCTCACAGGGCCAGGGCACCTCCACAGGCTCCCCGGAGACACTCCCTCGCTCCACCCGGCTGGCCCCAAAAGCGTCCACTAGGCACAGATGCCCCCTGGAGTGGAACTCTTAGGCGCCTCCATCTTCCTTCAGTGACAGAATTCAGCCCTTTCTAAACGTGGGGTTCTGTATGAGGAAGAGTGGGGTGGAGAGAGGGGAGTGGACACACTGTCGTCGGCCGCCACCCCACACTGACCGTGCAGGGAATAGTATTTACCTTCCCCCAGCCTCTTGTTTGCTGGACTGACCTCAGCTCATCCCCCTTGTGGATCTCAGCCAAGCACCCTTCCCTCCTACCTGACCACAAACTGGTCACACCCCTGACCACAGCCACAGTCCTGTCCCACAGTCAAGGAGTCAGCTATGCCGTCAGTGGCCACAGCTGATCCCACTGTCCTCAGAGATAGCATGGGTGGGGTTCCTAGCTGTCGGAAAGCGTGTTAGATGAATACACAGGAGACAGGGGAAGGCCTGGCTGTCCCTGGGGTAGGGACAGTGCTTCGTCCCAGAAGAGGGGCGTGTCTGGGCAGCCGGAGCCCTACTCCACTGACCCAGAGCTGGGGCCTTTGGACATGGTCGCCATGCAGGTTCCAGTACTGTCCAGCACCTCGTCTTGCTATAAAATTGCTTTTGGGGGAACCAGAAATGAAGTTCAAACCTCACTGTCCCCTCTTCTTTTTTAAAATATCCACAGTCAGTTTGTCTATGTGTGTGATGGGGAGTTGGGACGTGTGCCACGGTACGTGTGAAGCCAAAGGACAGCTTGGCAGAGCTGGTCTTGCCTTCTACCGCTGTGTACTTCCTGGGGATTGAATTCGGGTCACCAAGCTCAAGCACCAAGCACCTGATTTACCTGCTGAGCCATCCCACCAGCTCCTTCTTCCTGCCAGCTCCTTCAAATCCCTGGCATTAAGTCACTGGAAAACACTGATGACCAGACTTTAAAAATACATTTATTGCACCAGGCTGTGAGTTGAAGGCCAGCCTGGGCTACATAGCAAGCTCTTGTTCCAAACTTCAAAAAACAACATGAAGTCAGCAAGTTGGATCTGTGAGTATAGGCACCTGCTACCAAGCCTAAAGACCTGAGTTTGAGCCCCAAGATTCACATGTTAGAAGGAGTGAACTGACTCCCACACATCGTCATTGACTCCACACATGGGCCACAGTATGTTCACACCCACACACATGCACACAAAATACACAAATGAAGTGTTTTAAAAGACAGAGTAAGCAAGAAGAACGCATTTGGGCCAAGGCATTGCCCCAATCAGCACTCGGCCCCAGCTGCAGGTCCTTGCTTGTTCCTTGGTTTGAACATTGGCTGGTTCCCGGACGTTAGCACCCAGGAAGGAGATCACCTTGAATGCACCTTGCCATTCCATCGTCTTCAGGCCTGCCACCACAGGTTGGCATGGTGCTGGCACACGGGCTGTAGGTGGCCCTGTGAGACCCAGAAAGCAACCACAGCTGAGTGGGAGAGGAGATCCACAGATGGAGTGCACATGTCTAATCCCAGGCCCAGAACCTTCCTTACATAGAAAAGAAATGATTATTTAATAAATAGAGCTTAAGGGCTGGAGAGATGGCTCAGAGGTTAAGAGCACTGGCTGCTCTTCCAGAGGTCCTGAGGTCAGTTCCCAGCAACCTCATGGTAGCTCACAACCATCTCTGATGGGACCTGATTCCCTCTTCTGGTGTGCATGAAGACAGGTCACTCATATACATAAATATTTCAGTAGAGCTTAAACATCCTTAATCTGAAAGACTGAAATCCAAAATGCTCCAAAATCTGAAACTTTTGAACACTGACTTTATAGTAAGTAGAACTTGTTTTTTGTTGTTGTTTGTTTATTGGGCAGGAGGGGTGGGGTGGGGTATACTTGAGTGTGTATGCAGGTTCCTATGTGTGTGTTTGCTCTGTGGGGCAGGAAGTTGACATCGGCTGGCTTCCTTGATTGGTTTCCACTACATACGTTGGGTCTCAGGTGAATTCAGAACTGGCTGAGTTGGGATTTCCATTTGTCTCCTGTATCCAGGGATTCCAGGCGACTGGCTCACCACGACTACCCAGCATTCATGCTTATGTGGGTCTGGGGATTCAAATTCCAGTCACACTTGCATAAGAGGTGCTTTCCCTGGGGAGCTGTCTCCCCAGCCCTGTTTAGTTTTTTGAGACAGGCTTTTACTGTGTAGCTCTGACCGGCCTGGATCTCTCTACGTAGGCCAAGCTGGCTTCGCTGTTGACCATACTGATGCTGCAGCCCCCGAGTGCTGGGGTTAGAGCGTGCACCACAGCCACACCTGGTTTAGTTTTAAGGACAATGTTCAATGCTGTTTGAAGCAGGTGCTCTAGCACCGTGTGTGATCCCAGCACGTAGGAGGCAGAGCCAGGACGACGCGGGGTGCCAGCACGGGGCTGGAGAGAGCGTTCACTGCACAGCCGCAGAGGCCTGAGTCTGGTCCAGCACCCGTCCGCGTACGAGCAGGTGTGGCTGTGTGCACTGTTGTTCTGGTGCTGGGAGGCAGGGAGGAGAAGACAGGATTGCTGAGGCTTTCTCACCAGCCAGTATAGCCAAAAAACCAAAACCAAACGGAACTGTGAGCGTCAGGTTCAATGAAGAGACCCTGTATCCAGGGGATAAAGTGGAAGGGATAGGAGAGAGACCCGCACTGGGCAGTGGTGGTGCACACCTTTAATTCCAGTACTTAGGAGCCAGAGGCAGGCAGAGCTCTGAGTTCGAGGTCAGTCTGATCTACAGAGTGAGTTCCAGGACAGCCAGGGCTGCACAGAGAAACCCTGTCTTGAAAAACCAAAAAAAAAAAAAAAGAGAGCAGAGACTAGCTCTTGAGCTCTGGCCTCCAGCAGGCATGATACATAAACATACACACCATGTACACACACACACACACACA